CTAAAATTTCTTTTGTTGTATGGTAAACAGATACATGGGCTGCATTTTCTGTTGTTCTATGGTAAACAGATACATGGTTATTTTAACTAAAATTTCTTTTGTTGTATGGTAAACAGATACATGGGCTGCATTTTCTGTTGTTCTATGGTAAACAGATACATGGTTATTTTAACTGTATTTTCTTTTGTTGTATGGTAAACAGATACATGTTTGTTTTGCCTGTATTCTCTATTATCATATGGTAAGCCCCCCAGGGGCATAGCGATATGTCTGCGGACTTAAAACGCTAGAAACCGGGTTTCGATACCATTGATGGGCAGAGCACAGATAGCCCATTGTGTAGCTTTGTGCTTAATTCCAAACAAACAAAAAAATGTTCCTTGTGTAACTGTCGTAAAATCAAACAAAAATCATACGGTAAAAAAAACTTCATTTTTAGCATAGGAATCACGCTTTAATAATTACAATAAAACATTTGCAGTTGACGATGTATGTTTGTTTGGAATTAAGCACAAAGCTACACGATGGGCTATCTGTGCTCTGCCCACCACAGGTATCGAAACCCGTATTCTAGCGTTGTAAGCCCGCAGACATACCTCTGTGCCACTGGGGGGCAACGATGTATGATATAACATTTAACATTTGGTGATATTTGAATGTTTTTTAACACTATCTCTCTAAACAAAAATAATGTACCAATATACGTAATCAGCAACAAAATATTTTCTCTGACAATTCGTAGGCATCAAACAACGTTTCTATGACTCAGTAACAATAATATATAAAACTATATATATATATGTGTTATCTCTTGACATTCTTAAAAAGATTTGAAATTAGATGTATCAAATTAGATGAAGAAATAAAGAGACAGACAAACAAACAAAAAGCAAAGATGAAATAAAAATAGTTGGTATTTGACCTACTTGGTATTCTGTTAATGGCTCTAAGAGGACGTAGAACACGAATAGTCCTGATGGCAGATAGATTAATACTTCCAACATCCAAACAATATTCAAGAGTCCTATCAAATAAGTTGAAAAAAAAATAGTCTTGGAAAATAATTTATTAAACAAGTTTAAAAAATTTCCCAAAATAACATACACAACCAGAATTTCGAACTTTAGGAAATCACTGTTAGTGTTAGTTATGTAGTTATACCATTTGTTAACTAGAAAGGCATTGTTACAATTTTCAGGGGTAGACAATGATTACATAAAAGTCCTTCAGGAGTTAAATTTTTTTTTCCAATGACGATTCGAATATTTACTAACCAAGTTTTCAATTTCGAAATCATAACTCATGGAATATATCATTATCTCGTTTCCTTTGACTAAACAAATCAGCATTAAAAAACAACAAAAAAAACGCAGTTACCAAGTGCTCACAATACCCAACCTAACCAATACGTCATTAGATATGATAACGTCCTGGTAAAAACAAGATAAATTTTTTAAGCCACTGTTCAGGTTATATTCTAAAGTTCACATATATTAATGCCAAAATAAGTAATATCATGTCACAAAAAAGAAGATACAAAAATCCTTAGTTATGCTTTAACAGCCGTATATTGCAATGTAATTCATTCAGCTTCCCTTTGTCTTGAGCATACAAAATGAAGATCAACGATGTCTGACTGTTGTTATGAAAAACATAGAGTTTACTGTACCAATCTTTCTTAAATTGTCCTTGTAGGAGCCTAGACTCTATGGTTCCATTCTACCTTGTTACTTCCACTAATTTTCTTTCTTTATCCTTTATTATAACTGTAGGCAACAAGCTTAAGTCAAGATTTAGATTAATCGTACATACAGTACCGATAGTATTTCTACTTTTACAAATAGAAATTTACCCGCCATCTTGTGTGGTGGCCAGAACCAGTAAAAAAAAAAGGGGAATTTTAAGGTGCTCGTAATACTTAAATAAAAGTTAGTTTACAAGTTACTTGTAAACATCATAAGCTATCGAGTGACCTACATCAGCTTAAAAATTATGTAAGGAAGTGTAGGAAAATGTTTTATTGTGTAAAAACAAACAGCGCCTTTAAAAAAAAAAGATGAAATTAGGGTTACGTGACATAAGACACTGATTGTAGTTTTAAAAACTATATTTTTCAACAATATATTGTTATATCTTATAGTTTATCCCTTCCCCCCAAAAAATTGAACTTTATCATATTTCTTGTTATGGATGTTTTGGCAATTTCATTATTTAAAATTTAAAAATAGCCAGAAAGTCAGTATTAAATACTCATAACTTTTAATCTGCTAACAAGTTGTTCAACTGTTTCTAGATAAAAATCGATTTAATAACCAGGTGAAATTATTTTCTTTGAGTAACCTTACATAGTTTCTTTTGATATGCACCCTCCAATATCATATCAGAGGCGGAAAGAACGATTAAAATAAACAATATATTTAGATATAGGCCAAAGATTTGTGTTAAAAATAACGTTTATTTTTTAATTTTTTTTTGCAGGTGTTGTTTCCTCTTTCCTCATTTGTCTATTTCGGATTCAAATACAGAGGTGTGTAAAAAGAGAATTCCAGATCTATCTTTTATCTTCCGTATGTCACTGCCCAAGAGGCCTTTTAGTGAATACTAGAACTCGTCAGTTGGGCTGAATGATGAGACGAAAAAAATTCTCTGAAACTCCATTCATATATGCAATATTGTTTGTGTGTTTGTTTTTAATTATGCACAAAGCTACATAAGGGCTATCTGTGCTCTGTCCAACGCGGGTATCGAAACCCGGTTTCTAGCGTTGTAAGTCCGCAG